TCATGAAGACGTTCGACTGCATCAACTGCGTTAAACTAATGCTTCCGCTTTCGGTCTACGAGGGTACGTGGACACACTCTCCCCCTCTCATTGATATGCATCTCCTAGATAGATCTTGCATGATCGTAGGAATTTTTTTGAAATTGCATGTTGTGTTCCCCAACATGTCTAACTAAGTCTTCATCCCAATTGTTTGTGGTAGGATCAATCAAATCATTTACTTTAACTATAGCATTTCCACGCCTCTATGTGATGACTCTCCTAGTACTTCCTCTTGGAATCTAGGGATCAGACCAAATATTGATGTTGCTACCACTGCCTACGCTCCATAGGATCCCCTTCTTGAGAACATCTACTCCTTTTAGTATACTGCGCCATGTGTAGGACATGTTGCTTCTAGGCCTGGCTTGAAGAGTTGAGCCATCTGAGTAGTATCTTGCTGACAGGACCTGCACACATAAGGAAGGTGGGTTTTGAATGAGCCTCCATGATTGTCTTGGCCAGATTGAATGCATGGAGATCCCTAAATCCCAAGCCTCATGTTTTCTTCGTCTTCGTCATCTTCTCTCAGCTAGCCCAATGTATCTTATTCTCTTTATCCACTTGGCTCCACCAGTATCTATTTATCATAGTGCTCAACTCTTCACATAGGGTCTTGGTTAGATCAAAGCAAGCCATGGAATACACCGGGATTGCTTGTGCTACCACTTTAATGAAGATTTCTTTTCCACCTTTCGATAGGAGTTTTTCCTTCCATCCTTGGATCTTTTTCCACACCCTCTCTTTTACATACTCAAAGGTTCGTGCTTTGGCCTTACCCACATAGGATGCAACACCAAGATATCTTGGGGATAGACCTTGCAAGGTAACTTGCAGAACACTTCTCATTTTTTTCATTCAACACTTGCCTTGTGTTTGCACTGAACAATATTGAGGATTTATCTTTATTAATCACTTGGCTTTAAGCAGGTTCATAAAGATTTAGAATTCTACTAATTTCCCGAGCACTTTCAGCACTATCCTCGAATAGAAGTAATGAATCAACCGCAAAGAACAGATGGCTTACAATAGGGGCTCCCCTACATACCTTGATTCCTTTTAGTGATCCCCTCATCTCAGCTTCATATAACATAGAGGAGAACCCCTCAACATAGATGAGAAACAAATAAGGGGAAAGTGGATCTCCTTGGCGCAGTCCTCTTTGGGGTGTAATCATATCGGTTGTATCTTGGTTCACCTTGATTTGGTACTTGACAGTTGAGACACACTTCATTATCAGTCTAATCCAATTCCTACCAAAACCCAAACTTTTCATCATATCTTCTAACAATTTTCATTCAACACGGTCGTAGGCTTTGCTCATGTCCAGTTTGATAGCCGCATAGCCCACGGAACCCCTTCTTCTTCTTTGTAGGAAATGTGTTAGTTCATATGCCAATAGAATATTATCTAAAATTAGTCTCCCGGGTACAAAAGCCCTCTGGTTAGGGGAGATGATGTCGGGGAGAATTACTTTGAGTCTATTTGTGATTACCTTATAGACCACCTTATACACCACATTGCACAGACTTATAGGTCTTAGATCCTTTATGCTCATTGGGTTGGTGTTCTTCGGAATAAGCACTATTAGAGTATCGTTCCATCCTTTAGGCATATCTCCTCCTGTCAATATGTAAAGAACTTTTTAGTGATCTGGTTCCCCACTGTTTTCCAAAACCTTTTAAAATGGTTGGCATACCATCAGGTCCCGGGGTGTTTAAGTCACCGATGTTATCTAAGGCTCTTTTCACGTCCTCTTTTGTATATTCAGCACATAGCATGTCATTCATCTCTGGCACCTTTGGCTGCACCATTCTCATAATTTCCCCATTATCTCCTACCGTCATGGAGGAGAATATATTTAAAAAATAGTTTGCAATACGCTCTTTCAAATGTTTCTACCCCTCCACCCAATTGTGTCCCTTTTTAGCTTCTTAATGGTATTCCTTTTCTTTCTTTCGAAGACAAAAGCATGAAAGAAGGATGTGTTCTTGTCACCATCTTGCAACCACTTAATATGGGCTCGTTGTTTCCAATGTGTATCTTGTTGTTGTTCCAAACAGTCTAGCTTCTCCATTAATAAGTGATCTCTGTTGACCCCTTCTTGGTTGATGTCCCCTCTGTGTACCTCCTCTAGTTCTTTCTTAAGGGTTTTAATACGCTTTTGGAAATCGCCTAAAACACTAGCATCCCAGTCCTTTAGCTCTCATGCTACCATGTGTAACATCCCCTGTGTATTATGTTCCCCTTGTATGCTAACTTTGGCCCAAGCATTATTAACCACAAGCTCATATTCCTCTTCTTGTAACCATCCGGCTTCAAACCTGAAGCCATGAATCCTTCTCCTAGGCATATGTGATCTCCCAGATTCTTCCATTTGGATGGTTACTCGCATGTGATCTCAGTGGTATGGGTCCCCATTCACAACTTTGAAGTTAATTAGGGAATCTTGTGCACCAACTCTTCGTCCCCACTGCTTTGTCCAATCTTTCTTTAACAAAGCGTTTAGCATCCCAACTCTGATTGCGCCATGTGTATTTGTCCCCCACATAGCCTAAATCTGTCAATCCACAGTCCGCTAGAGATGCTCTAAAATTCTCCATTTGGCTTTGTGCTCTAGCTGCCCCCCCCCCTTATTCTCTTGATTATACATGATCTCGTTAAAATCACCAGCTTATAACCATGGGAGGTTTAACTGCTGATTTATGATGCACATTAACCTCCATGCTATTTCCTTTTGCCTAGAGCTCAGGGGTTAAGTGAATGCACATTATTTACCCCACTCAAAATTTTCTCATAAAAAAATCACCCCACTCAAAAAAAGTGAATGCAAATTGAATTCTAAAGTGATATCATGGTGATCCGTCATGATGGGCTAGGCAGCTCATGATTTCCCTTCTCCATATATTAGAGCAAGTACAACCAGTAGAATGCTCGTGCGTTGCTACGGGCTACAGTGCATATAAATAAATTAAACAAATGATTAAGGTCGTCTTCAAGGTCGAAGCTCATTTCTCCCTCATACGTTTGGGATTGTTTGGACACCAAATGGGCGCCCAAAAGGCTCCCCAAAAGTCATTCTCTTGGACAATCCGAGCTCCCCAAATCAAGCCCATATGTGGGGGAGAAATGTGGTTGTCCGAACTATCCGTCACGTTACCACTAACACACAGTCCCAATACAAAAACCGCACCCAATGATGCACCCTTCCCTTTTCTCACAAAACCCTTACCTTCGCGCTTGATTTCATGCCATAGCGGGACATTTTCCGTTGAAGTCTTCTCCTTTAAAACCGGATGACGTCCACCTCACCTTGGCCATGGCGCCATGTCTCCTTCGCACCATACTTCCCCCTCAAACCTAAAAGGGTGATAAATATGTACATAAAACTCAAAGGAGTTGATAAAAAATTAAATAAATGATGCTATCTGGCCGAAGTTGCACGCCGGTCACGTGTTGATCGTTGGATCTAACTTGATCCAACAGACCACGTGTCCTCCACCGGTCCATGGGTTGTGGGGACCACACACCACTTATCCTGTTCCTCCTTATCTTCTTCCTCGACGCGAATCCCCTTGTATCCATTGTCTCTCTCATTCTCATGGTTGAGGCCATGCATCCCTTAAGCATCTATATCCCCAAATCCCCTCATGACTCCCTCTCCTAAACAGGCCGACAATCTCCCTCTTCCTTTCTCTATCAATCCCTAATCCCATGGCATCCTCTCCTTTACCATGCTAGGGACCTCCCGCATACTTCTCTCGCAAATCCCCATGCCCCCCCTCAAGCAGAGGACCAACACCTGTGTGCAACCAACCGTGGTAAAGTTGCATCCGGCACCTTCAGAAGCTGCGACTGGCGCCATCAGAAGCTGCAACGGGTGGAGGTGAGGTCCTGGCGAAACCGGTGAGATGCTAAAACCGACCGTCAAAAAGATGCAACCATTTGCAAGTTTTGCTGGAACATATGCTCATTTTTGTTGCGTAGGCAGACCATGCGATGTAGATGCTACAACCAGCGACATGATTTTCTCGAGCAGTCGATGAGTTTTTCTGGAACTGGTCCTTGATTTTTCTGTTGAGTAGGCAGACCATGCGACGTTGATGCTACAATCGATGATGTTATTTGCTGGATCCGTTGGCGGGTTTTGCTAGAACTGATGCTTCATTTTGTTGCATAGGCAGACCCCGCGACGTAAAAGCTATAACTGACGAAGCGATTTGCGAGGATCAGCAGCATGATTTGCTGCGTTGGCGGACATGCAATTTGGGCAACTGCGACGACATCAGGGTCCCCGGCGGGGCGTCGGAGTCAAATGCTCCTCGGTGTGCCATGGTCGGCATTGTTGCTTCTCGAACCAGCTACATGGCCGGAGCTGCACCTGGGGGTGTCTGCAAGCTACAATAGTGTGACACATGTGCTGCAAGCCAGGCGAGATCGATAGGGACTACCCGGGGCGGTTCAACGATGTCGACATGATGCTGCAAGGTAGCCGATGGTGTTGCAAGGGGACAGAGCTATGGTGCGAGGTGTCGAGTACCATCCATCCACTAATCATTCATGACGAGCCGCGCTGCAAAAGGTTTTTTAGCGCGACGCGCGATAGCGCGGCTGTTGGAGATGCTCTCAGACAGAACCATACGCTCTGTTTTATTATTCTTTATTAAATGTGCAGTGAAATGTTAAAAATAAGCAACTCAATCAATCAATCCAGACTACAATGTATGCCATCCTCAATCAGACCTGCGGTTTTATTATTCATGGTTCGCCGAAAATTGTACATCTTCCACACGAGATCTACGCACTCTCGCCGACACTCGCAAGGCCTCTCCCGCGTAATTGAGTTTCTAAAAAGGCGTAAAAATGATAATTACCAACGTTAAAAATGCGACAAGTTCAGCATCGGCGTCCCATCCTAGATGCATGCCCGGACGTGGCCGGAGCCGGAGGTTGGTGGGAGATCAGGCGAGTCCGACGAGCTTCTCGCTGAGCTCCCAGACCTTGCGGGCCTTCTCGGGGTCGCTGGCCTCCTGTGAGAGCTGGTTCTCGAACGACGCCGAGTCCTTGTTCCAGCTCCAGTACACGCCGGACTTGGTCAGGCTGGGCTCCGCCACCACCTGCGCCAGCCTCTTGCCGGACTCTGCCTCGGACACGAACCCCTTGGTCACGAACTTTTGGAACGGCGGGAACAGGGTCCGGAACAGCGGGATGTGCTCGCGGAACAGCCCCGTGGTGGCGATGCAGCCGGGGTAGAGCGACGAGAAGGTGATGCCGGTCTCCTCGTGGTACCGCCGGTGGAACTCCTGCATGGTCAGCATGTTGCACACCTTGCTGTCCTTGTACGCCTTGGCGCCGTCGAAGCTCTCGTCGCCGTCGATCATGGCGGAGCCCGACGCGCCGCTGAGGCCGCCGGCGAGCCCGCGGAGGTCGCCGAGGCTGGCCTTGGGCGGCACGTTGCCCGCCAGCGTGTTGCTGTTGCCGGTGATGGAGCCGACGATGACCATGCGGCGGGACGGGTAGTCGGACTTCTGGAGGTCCTCCATGAGGAGGCGGGCGAGCAGGAAGTGGCCGAGGTGGTTCACGCCCACGCTCATCTCGTGCCCGTCGGCGGTGAAGGTCGGCGTGCGCGCCGTGGGGCGGTAAATGGCGGCGTTGCACACGAGCACGTCCAGCGGCATCTCTGCGCGGCGGAACGCATCCACGAACTGCCGGACGCTGTCGAGCGAGGCGAGGTCGAGGTGCATGACGGTGTAGCTGCCGTCTGCCATGCCTGCCGCCTTGGCCGCCTTGGATGCCTTGAGGAAGTCGCGGCACGCCATGACCACGTGCCACTTGCCCGTCTCTGCCAGCGCCTTGGCCGCCGCCAGACCCAGCCCGGACGACGCGCCCGTGATCACCACCACGCCCTGCCGCAGCGTCTTCTTGCCGCTCGGCTTCGCCGTCGCCGAGCCCGGGCTCGTCGTCACCGACGAAGGCGCCGTGGCCACCTGCGTCCTCACCGCTAGCGACGCCTTCTTCGCCTTGCTGCTCACGCCCAGGAACGCCGCCGTGTCCTTCACTGCCGCCGCGCCCATGCTGCTACCCTGCATCCATAAAAAAAAAACATGAATCTTACCACTGGCGCCAAATGCAGCAGCAATGTACATCGACGTCGAAGATGATCATGTGTTACTTACCTTCTTGGGGACGGAGAGGGTGGAGGGGAGGAGCTGGAGAGCCATGGATGACGGTGAGCTCTGACGGACGACTGTCGCTAGCGAGCTCGAGCGTGCGCCGCGAGTAGTGTACTGCTGATGTACTGTACTTAGCGAGTTGGTGAGTAAGCTCTCGCTCGCCGGCGGCATTTATACACGGGAGGAGCACCACGGGCTGCGGATAACGGCGCGTGGCCGGAGCCACCGTGGCGCCTCCACAGCCAATCACAGGGCGTGGACGGGATTTTCTGGGACGGATTTGTGCCATCGACGCTGGATATTTCTGGCGCTTTTCGCCAACGGCCGACGGCGACGCCGCGGGATCCTCTGCGCCCGACGCTGCCGCGGCTCCCTCCAGACCGCTGCCATGGCAGCGGATCAGTGGCCGGACCAGCGCGGCGAGCTAGCTGGACGGAGCACGGGATGGAGTTGCCGGCAAATCTGGAAATAATGCAGCATGGCCTGCATGGGTGAGGGTGCGTGGGCCGGGCACGTAGATCTGTCCCTTTGCGACGCGCCGCGACGCCACGTCGGCGCAGGAAGTGCCCATGTGAACGTGCGGTATGCGACTGGCTGCGGGCGCGACACGTAGGATCGACCCATTGGGTCTCTGCCGACGTGGCGTCCGAGATGGCAGGTTGTGCTCGCGCCTTTAACCTCCCGGAGCCATGCATTTCACGTGTCCTTACTTCTACTATCTTCTAATCCGTTTATGGGTTTAGAACCTTGTCTGATGGAGCAGCCTTCATGGCACGGTGTGCTTGCGCCATTTACCTCTGATGACAGGGAAGAAACCGACGGTTTTGGAGCCAAGTTGCATGGCTATCTTCTCCACGTGAAAATGAAACCATATGACATATGGGAGTAAGTGAGTGAGTGGGACAGTGGGAGTTCCATGTCGATCCATGCAACTTTACTGCATTTGCCAGGCGCTCTCTCAACTTTTTTGGAAAAAGTAAACCTTGTACGCATGTCTTAGGCCAAACATTTCTGATTGCAAAACTTGGAAACCGTATTGTACAAAGGAGTGGCACAGCCCGTGTCATCTTTCACTCACGCACAACTCCAAATAAACACCATCATATTGGCTATGGCTACGACGGTTAGCACGGGGTTAAGCCTGTGAGAGTTTTTCTTTTTTTGCGGGCGAAGCTTGTGAGAGTTGCATTGTGGGGTTTTTATCATATATGCCATTGGCTATGTCTCACTACTCAGTTCTGCCATTTTTCAACTCCTCGAAAATGCCATACTTAAAAATACCACCAGACACCATTACTATCAGCTCAAATCTCGTTTGCCAGGTCATAATGACCAAAATACCTATGGACCGACATGTCAGCTCTTCCTCTATCTCACTACAATAAAGGGTGAGTCCCACTTAACCCTAGCAACGTTCTTATTATTCTCTAAAATTATTCGCTTGCTTAGTCCTGACAAGTGGGGCCCACATTTATCATTGTGAGATAGAAAGAACTGACATGTGGGTCTAGGGGTATTTTTATCATATAACATGGTCAACGGGTTTGACCTAACAATAATTATGTCTAATGACATTTTTGAGCAAACATCTAATGGACCGATGGCATTTTTGAGATATCTAATGGCATTTTTGAGCAAATTTCTCATAGAATGATGGCATTTTTGAGCAGTTGTAATTTCTAATGGCAAAACTGAGTAGTGAGACACAACTAGTGGCATAAATGATAAAAACCCTACATTGTGAGGCAACTAACAAGAGAGACCAGGCGGAAAACGACAGAGAGTGGACGAAGCCAGAGTAAAACAATATCTAGAGGACAAAAGAAACTGAAAAAAAAACAATTTGAGTGGACAAAATGGCCAGCTAGAGGTCAGCACATCTATGCTTTCTCTTGCCTCTCGCTGGTTAGATTGTTTTTCCTCTGGTGATGAGTTACTAGGACCGCTACTAGTACTAATTTGCATGGGTACCAAGTCAAGCTGGCAATGGCTAACCATTACTCGCATTCTTATGAGTAATTACTTTATCAGGGGATGGGGATGTAACAACTTTAATGCCCACGCGGAAGCTGGTGGGTCAAATGCCTTACCCAACGCGCAAGAGGGGGCTGAGGATGGTATAACATTACCCTCCTTACCCATGAAGGCCTTATATGTGGGCTCTAAAATTAGTAGACAATAGGTAATTACTGCCCTTACCCATCCAAATTTCCATCCATTCCGCCCCTTTGGCCCAAAAAACACTAAGAAATCCCTAAAACCTAGCCACGACATATCATTTATTGTGTTGCAATGCTATTGAAGGTTGATGTTGATTGCATAGATGGGTTTCCCCGTAGGGATGAAAAACCCGACGGGGATGGGGATGGGAATTTTTTTATCCCCGTGCACGGGTACGGAGACAGAGATGCGCATGGGAGGACTGTCGTGCGGACGGGGATGGGAGTCTAATACCTGCCTGGGTAATCCCCATTGCTAGCTTGAGTACCAACTAGAAGTCTCTCCAAGGACGCTTTACTAAATCGACCGCATAGTTGCCTAGAGTTGAAATAACACGTCTCTGGGTATGAAAATTGGATGTCTGCATTGTACCGAGGCATGCTTGCTGATGGGTACATACGTCCTTTATTAGAAGGAAACCAATTCCCCTGCTCATTAATAATTTAGAAAAACATATTAACACCACGCGGAACAATTCAGTTTCCCTAGCTAGGCGAATCCCAAAAGCGGAGGCAAATGGAAACACATCATGTCTTTGTTTTTGTTTTGCACAACACTGTGTGCGAACGTCAACATTGTGTGGTTATATTTTGTAAGTTAGCCAAGGAAAAAAATTGACCAAAATGAATTTGAGAGCACAAACCATGAAGTCGTGGCGTCTACATAGGAGGCCGAGGCCCTATAGTATGCCTATACAACTATCACTAGATCATTGATGGATTTTAGGGATATGAAGTAATATGTATAATAGTTTGCAATTCTTTGGAGTGGTATTGTGCTTTCTTGCATCTCGTGCGTGTCTCCTTTGTTTTACAATCATGGTATGTAATTGACAAGAGGAACCCGATTGGATTGCGAGAAAGCAGTGTGTTGATATTTTTTCTTAGGTCTGATGGACTTGTAACTGGTTCATGTTTGGGTCTCAAAGTGTAGGAGTTTCTAGGATGGTTGATGGATACATGTTGTGATTGATCGACACCACTTTTGGCTCCTAAAAAAAGTTCTCTCGCAAAGGCCCCTACCACAACATCTAAAAAATAGAAATATTAAGGAAAAACAATATATTTGAGAAAATAAAATAGGCACTGCAAATACTTCATAAAATTTGTATAACGCATATCGTGGCTCGCAAGAGAATTCTACATTTAGTCTATCACAATAATCCTACAAGCACCAACAAAGAAGTAAACATAACTTGTCAAATTTAATCATGTTTGGTTTCAGATCGCTTCACACTGAGAAATTTAGATGCTAGTATATAGTACCTATTGTATTGCTTTCATGCAATAACACAATATTCATTCCTGAAAATTGGAAAATTATATGGTAGTAGTGTAGCATAAAATAAATAACTTTGTTTGCTAAGTATTTTACCATGTGTCTTAAGATTTATGGTTCGAGTGTAATTGGCTATTACCATACTGGCTATTGTGGGGCTAAGTGGCAGAGAGATTGCATCGCTCCACATTGTTGGTTTCTTCTACAGAGGTTGATCAGTTCCAGGAGATATGATCAAATATGTACATGTATTGCATGGCATCCATGGAATCCCAGCTTTGTCTGAGAATAGGAAAGCAAACCATGTTAGCTCCGGTGAAACCATTGATGAAAAGCGGCGATGTAGTATCTAATTGTCAAATCAATTAGAAGAAGCTAAGAAACGATCAGTTTACACTGACCAAAATGTTCAAGCCTGGAGAACTGGAGAGTACAATCATCAGTATGCTAATTACACCGGTGAGATAATAAGCTTCAGATAACAATATATTTGGCTTCTAAACTATATGTTGATCGATCACAAAGCTAAGAAATTCTCAAGATACACTGATCACAATGTTCAAGCGTTGTGAATTGGAGAATATATACTGAAATTACTAATATAAGCAGTGCTTCTACTAATATAATTGTGAAGTGCACATGCTACCGAAAATGTAAGTAAACTGGGGGATCATAAGTTTCAAACAAGAGTCAGTTTGTCTCCAAAAGTATCTCGTTTCTTGACATGGCCTACATGGCCGCTCGCCCTTTTCTACCAGGTAGACTCTGTGGCCTTTAACCTGACGCCTCCCTGGCTTTGATGGGACGAGGGCGGATCGCGTAGTCGATGAGGTCCTGCTCTGGTCATAGATACCTACGTCCTCCTCCTCGGCAATGCAGAGGCTCTCGCCATCGATACTACTCACCCACTCGCCGACGCGATCGCTCAAGGAGTTCGGGCGACCCACTGGTTTGGGACCTACGTTAGTGGCTGCGAATCCTCCACCATCTCCTTTTTCTTGTGCTCGGTCCGCGTCGTGCGCGTCGGACATGTACCCGCCATCGGGGGATAGGGACGCCGTTGTGCCATGCGCCTTTGCCATCCCCTCGGTAGACATCCGTTAGGGTTGATGAGGCACCATGAGAGGGACCTCCTATTGGGTGCCTTCAGCGCCGCACAAGGGAAGTGGCGCCCGCAGCAGCGGCTTCACGGCCGGCCCACGATCGCAGAAGGCGCGACGTGGAAAAAGACAGTCAAAAATAGCATGCGACTGGGAATCGATTTCACGCCATCAACCTTCCACATGGACAGCCTAACCACTGCACCAGCTAACTACTACTTCATTCGTTCCTAAATATTTGTCTTTCTACAGATTTCAACAAATGACTATATACGAAGCAAAATGAGTGAATCTACACTCTAAAATATGTCTAGATACATCCGTATGTGGTAGTCCATTTGAAATCTCTAAAAAGACAAATATTTAGGAACAGAGAGAGTACTGAATATTAACAGTGAGAAAGTATTTTAAGAATAGAAATGTATACGCGCTATTTATTGCGTATTACACTGTAGCGTTTGTTTTTTCTAGTTATTTGAAAACATGTTCACATATTACAGTTGACGTTCATGAGCATGCAAAAAAGGTTCACATATTCAGAAAATAGTCCACCAAATCAGAAAAGATCATGAA